AGGTTCTTTGAAACACCCTCTACTACTGCACGTAACGTATTCTGAATCATATTCATGACATCAGTATGGTCATTGATAAATGCCATTTCGAAATCGAGCATGGTCATTTCGTTCAAGTGACGACTGGTAGCATGTTTTTCTGCGCGGAACTGTGGGCCTGTGGTATATACACGCTCGTACACCCCTGCCATCATCTGTTTATGGAGCTGTGGACTGGTCGACAGATATGCTGGTTGGTTATAGAGGTATTCCAATTTAAACACTCCCGCACCACCCTCTGCATCCCCTCCTACGATACGAGGCGCTTGGAATTCGGTGAACCCTTGTGAATTAAGATATTCACGAAACGCATTGAGGATGACGAACTGAGTTTTAAAAATTGCCTGCTCACGGTCACGACGTAGTGTAAACGGACGATAGTCGAGCATAGTATCAAGATTAAGCTCTGCATCATGAGTAAACGGGAGCTCTTTTGCTTCGCTGAGCACCTCGATACCCAGTACCTCCAGCTCAATATCACCGTTCTCTTTGTCGGCTTGGATGTTTTTATCTGGCCGTTTGTTTACATTACCGGTTACACGTACTACCCACTCACTGCGGAGGGACTTTGCAGTTTCCATGGCCTGACTGTTTGGTAATACTACCGCCTGTACACGTCCTGTTCGATCACGAAACTCAAAGAATATCATTTTTCCTTGGTCGCGACGTACATCGACCCACCCAGAGATAGTTACCTCTGTGCCGATGTAGTTTTTTAAATCATTGATTAATGTTCTGTTCATATAAAAATGAGAGTATTTTATAGGTACGTAAAAACGCCCTACAAAACTATTATTACTAATAATTTCGAAGGACGTTGTTACAACGCGGTGCCACCTTCGTTACTTCTCGTTTACAGCTGTGTCGGGCATACCCGAGAGGTTCTACGTGACTATTGAGCCATTTCTTCCTCTTTCTCCCCGGTGTCAGCCGGTTCTTTGAATTAGGCATAGTGTAACATAAAAATAAAATTTATACAAAAACCCAATGTTCATATTCATGAAACACTGGGCTACCTAACTCAAGAATTAATCTATTTTGTCAGGATTTTCATTTTTTTTGTTACTGTAGTAGCCCTGTTTTAATATACCTTTTTATTGGGCCAGAACCTTATCTTCTACAGTAGTGGTTTGTTTTTTATGTAGTTCTTTTGATTTAACTACGTATACATATTAGTATAAAAATATTTTAAAGTCAATCATGTTGTTTTAAAATTAAAACAACTCTAATTAATAGGGTTGTTTTAATTTTAGATTATTCCTTTATCGTCCACCCATCAGCTAAATACTGGTCAACTTTTTTATACTTTATCTCCATTTCTTCACTTCCCTTTACAATTATCACTCGCTCATTGACTCCATATTTTTTACCACTTGCTTGACCAATATTTCCAATTACTTGTTCCATGGGTGATGCAGCTACTACTTGAGTATTACCCAGTATCGCATCAGTATCCAAGTGAGTCATGATGTGTGCTACCTGACTGAGTAAATTCTCCTCGAGTGTGCGGAACATCTGGAGTCCTTCGCGTTTATACTCTACCAGCGGGTCACGCTGAGCATAACTACGCAAGTTTACTGACGACCGTGCATGTTCCATGGCGTCGAGATGATCCATCCACAGACGGTCAAGTGTCGAGAGGATAACCTGGAGAAATACATTGTTCCACATTTCTGTTCCCAGAATTTCTTGTTTACTTTGGAATAAAGATTTTTCATCATCATGCAGACGCTCTACTAAACTGTTTTGTACTGAAGCAATATATTCCTGATCCCCAGAGAGAATTTTACGACGACGATCATACACTGAGTTACGCTGCGTCGAGAGAACATCATCGTATGAGAGTGTGTTTTTACGTCCATCGAAATGGAATCCTTCAATTTTTGCTTGAGCTCCTTCGAGTTGCTTACTGATAAAGCTGTGCTGGATGGCTTCATCCTCTGGAAGTCCCATTTTACCAATCATACCTGCCACCCTGTCTCCTCCGAATACACGTACGAGATCGTCCTCGAGTGATACATAAAACTGTGTCTCTCCTGGATCTCCTTGTCGTCCACTACGCCCGCGGAGCTGATTGTCAATACGGCGTGCCTCATGACGCTCGGTTCCGATTACATACAATCCTCCGAGAGATTTAACATGTTCATAAGACTCCTGATTAAAAGGTACCCCACCAAGTTTAATATCCACTCCACGTCCTGCCATGTTCGTCGCTACCACAACTGATTTAACACGTCCTGCCTGGGCGATGATTTCTGCTTCACGGTCATGGTTTTTAGCGTTGAGGACTTCGTGTGGGATGCCTTCGTTTTTGAGATAACTTGAGATAACTTCGTTATCCTCGATAGATACCGTACCGATGAGCACTGGCTGACCCTTGTCATACAGAGCGCGAACACGCTTTGCCAGGGCTTTGTATTTACCAACACGTGTTTGGTAGATGAGATCTTGCTGATCAATACGCGCGACATCACGGTGAGTTGGGATCTGGATAACCTCCAGACCATATACCTTGTAAAATTCTTCTTCAGATGTTTTACCGGTTCCAGTCATACCAGAGATTTTACCGTACAGTTTAAAGTAGTTCTGATACGTGATTGACGCTGCAGTACGAGATTCTTCCTTGATCTCTACTCCCTCTTTTGCTTCAAGTGCCTGATGGAGCCCATCATTGTAACGACGCCCGTCGAGGATGCGTCCCGTAAATTGATCCACAATTAATACCTCGCCGCCACGGACGATGTACTCCTTGT